TTTTTAAAAAGTTTAAAAATATTTTTCCTGGGGCTGGGGATGTGGCTCAAGCGGTAGCGCACTCAACTGGCAGGCGTGCAGCCCGGGTTCGATCCTCAGCACCACATACCAACAAAGATGTTGTGTCCGCCGAGAACTAAGAAAAAATAAATAAATGTTAAAATTCTCTCTCTCTGTCCCCCTCTCTCTCTCAAAAAAAAATAAAAATATAAAAATATTTTCCATTGGGGAGTTTGTTTTGTGACCATGAACAGAATCAGTCACTGTCAACAGAAGGCAGGGGAAACATGAGCKTCAGGTGCTCTGCCTCTTGGGGAAGCCTCTGCAGTCTTTGTCCCTCTGCCACAGCCTGTGAGTACCCACAGTCCCCACCCTTGTCCTGGGAGGGGACATCCATCAGTGACTCTGCCCAGGGTACACCAGCTACTTCAGGGACAGCTCTGGGCCACTGGGGCTCACGGAAAACCTTGATCAGGGCTGCCAGAGACCCCGGAGGGGGGCTCAACCTCCCTTTGGCCAGGAAGCTGTCTGGCCTCTAGGCAGGTGCTCTCTAGGGACCCTCCTGGTCCCCTGCCCAGCTCCTGGGTGGCTGGAAACTCTCCACGCCAGGGAAGGCGCACCTGTGTGCAGGGACAGTGGAGACTAGGGGCTACCCGGCCAGGTGGCCCTCCCAGCCAGGACTTCAAGAGAGCCTTGCAGCTGGCATAGATCTGGAGGGACATGGTGCACGTCAAGCCACAGGGACCAGGGGAGGGGCCTTGGTGCCTGGGTTGTCTGAAAGGAACCTCAGTGCTACAGGGCTGCAGCTGCCAGGTGGGAGGCAGCAATGTCCTGGCRGACAGGCTCACAGCAGCCACCCTGCTCCAGTCCTGTGCCTCCGGGAGACACTCTCTTGCCCTTCCCAGCAGGTGGGGTCCTCTCCAGCCCCCACTTGTCTCTGACCAAGATCCCAGAGGGCCAGAGCCCCTGGGGAAGGAGAGCTGTTCTGCCTGGGTGCCGCACCAGAAGGACAGTGGCCTGTGGAGAGGCTGCTCCCTTCTCACTAGCCCTTGGGCTCTGGGCACTGGGCAGTGTTGACCTGAGGTGCAGACAAAGCCTGAGCTCCCTGTGGATGGTGTCCCTCCAGGGCTCCTTCAGGGCCTGGGCCAGCACCTGCAGGCTCCTCACCCCCCACACTGAACCAGAGGTGCTGTGGCCCACGCACCCTTGTGGCCCTGGCTGGAGAGTGAGATGACCTGCCAGGCCA